TTCATGCCCAAACGTTGCATTTTCCAAGACCACCCTGGCCCACCATTTCCCCATCCTGTGCCTATACAAACCCTGAGACCCTAGCCAGCACATAGACAAGCAGCTGGACGTCGAGAGAAACACATTGGTGGAAGAACACACAAGCGGTCGGGTGTCGAGAGAAACACGTTGGTGGAGGGGCATGCTGACAGGCACCAGCAGATGCCGGTGGGGCCATCAACCAGAGTTTGTCTGGGAGGGTCAGAGAACTCCGCTGCGGAGCAGCCCAACTCTAGGGGAAAGACCACTTTCCCATTCCATCCCCTTTCTGGCTCCCCATTTGCCTCATTGAGAGCTACCTCCACTCAATAAAACCTTGTACTCATTCTCCAAGCCCATGTGTGATACAATTTTTCCAGTACACCAAGGCAAGAACCCAGGATACAGAAAGCCCTCTGTCCTTGGGATAAGGCAAAGGGTCTAATTGAGCTGATTAACACAAGTTGCCTAGGGAAGGCAAAACTAGAAAAGCACACTGTAACACATGCCCACTGGGAGTTCAGGAGCTGTAAATATTCACCCTTAGACGTTACTGTGGGGTCAGAGCTCCACAACCTGCCCATCTGCCTGCATCCCGTAGAGGTTTGGGCAGTAGGCCATCAAAGACGCGAGCCACACCCTCATTGTACACCCTGCAAGCAGGAAAAGGGAGCTCCTGTCATTTCAATTCCAAAGAGATATTTCCAGATAGTAAGTGTGAAAATTCTGTACCAGGAACAAAGATTTATCTAAATGGATACAAGAGGTGAGGATGACAGTCTTGGATAATGGTTGAGGGTAAGGGCAATTTTACCTGACTATGTAAGAAGCTGCTTAGATTTCCATTATCGAAATTCAATAACTGTATTATGGTCTCACTTGGAAAGCAATGTTTGGACAGATTTAAAACAGGGTGAGACGATATAGAAACAGCAAACCACTAAGAGTGACAGTAAACGAGCAGCCACATAATCTCCTGTTGAGCATGTTCTACCTGAGGTTTGGTTGAAGAAGAAGTCTGGGTAACACCAGGAAGAGTAGCCCCAGGAGGAGAAGAGCTCCTTTCCCACTGGGCCCATCCCCAACATCCCAGGTTTCCTCTTGCACTGAGTGTCAAGGAGAACGTCCCTCTGGGCACTATGGGGGAGGCGGCAAGAGAGAAAACAAACAACCAACAAGCAGATTGCAACAATGGGCAACCATAATTTAAATGAACTCTTCTGCTCTTTCCAAAAAAGAACTGAAGCAGCTGCTAGCATTCTCCCCATGTGGTAGGACGGAGGCCCGTCCTAGGGAAAGGACGCAGTTGCTCCCTTCTGCCACTGCTTTTGCTTCTCTCTGCTGCCCTGAGGCCGCCAGCTCTCCTGCTTTCTATGCCTGGTCCTGTGGAGTTTGCAGATGCAAAGGGGTCTCTTCAGGGGTATCCCAACTATCACTTCGTATCTGAATTATGTGATACTTCGAAGCACACAATTAGGAGCCCAGACACTGGTAGCTTGTTCCTGTGTTGGGGTGAGTTTTCTCTAACATTCTTTCTAGACGGGCTTCACTGAGTAGACCAGGGCCGACTAGACTGCAAGGCTATGCTTGATCCATTAATACGACTAGCTTGAGAAATGCATTCAAGCACTCAACATTTCCAATTACCCTGAGCTTTAACATCCTGACGGATTTACTTCCACATGGAACTAGTAACCCTAGTTCCTCCTGCATGTGAAACTCACACACGCACGCGCACACACACACACACTTCTTTAAGTCTAATTTAGTGGTTTCCCCACTTCACAGCACTGGTAACTAGGTACCTTGAAGAACCACAGATGCTTCTCGCTTAACAAACCTGGACTAAACACGGTATGGAAAGAGGAATTCAGCACAGGAAGCGATGCTCCCAATTTCCATATGGCAAGGCAAGGACCTGCAATCAAGGTCACAGTGATATCAACACCAACTGGAACGCACGCAGACTCCACTGTCTAGGGAGCAGGGGGTGGGAGATCAAGTTGCTGCAGCAGTTGACAATGTTCTGTCTTTGGCTAAACTCTAGCCAGGTTCCTCTGAGCCTGCTTCACCACAAGGCCTCACCTGGGCTTATGAAGTCCTGAAGAAACACTAACATGGTTTCTGACAGCTCAAGGCTACATCCCTAAGATAACCCCAGCCCCTTTTAAAGTGCCTGTCTGAGAAATCTCAAGGCTTCCCAAAGCATTTCCTGTTTGTTCTGGCTGACACCTGAAGATAGGACCCCCGTCTCCCAGTCTCTGTGGGAAAGTGGGAGCCTCACTTCTATGATCGCCAGTTGGCAAACCGAAAGATTTCACAAGGACCAACCTTTCTTCATGCTTTTTGCAGGTTTTCACCTCCCCAACTCTCCTGAGCCCTGAGTCTGCCCCTCCCTGCTCTTCTATTCTCCCTGTAAAATGCCCAATCGTCTCTGCTGATCTAAGGGGAGTTCACTTCAGGCCACAATGTTTTCCCTATTGCAGCAGGAATCACTGACTAAAATCTCTCCTGACCACTTTATCCAGTATTTGGCTTCGTTTTTCTCTGACACAGCTCAGCAAGGGGCTTCCATTTCCTTCAGACAGGAAGATCACTTTTGCCCACAATGGTGCCATGCTACATACTGCCTCAGCCAGCCATGGGGTTTATTTCCTAAATGATGTGGGTGTGTCTATATTTGCTGTGTCATTCCAGACACAGAGGGAGCCCCTGGTGAGTGGACTGTGCTCTTGTCATGGAGCTCAGCACAGGCCGGAGGCCTGTCAGGATGGGAAAGGCCAGCAGCCAGCTCTCCTGCAGTGACCCACAGGGTTGGCTCAGGGACAGCGGAGGGCCATGGAGCATCATCATGGGTGTACATCAACTCCACAGGCCCTGGCTGATACCGGGAAGAGTCCCCCAGAGGGAGTCCCACGCCTCAGTGTGCTGCATCTTAAGCACTTAATTTCTTGTGTAAATTCTGACTACATCTCTCTCGATAGCAGGTCTTGGGAAGTGGTGGTTCAGGAACCGTGACTGAAGCAGGGCTGGTGGCTTTATAAGGTGACAGGTCCCCGATCACATCAGGGGCAGGTGTGCTGGGAGGACAAGATCTTCCCAAGGAGGTGTCCTCCTTACTGTGATTGCAAGAAGGGTCCTGGCTCTTCAAATGTTGGTAAGTGACCTCCTTCTCTTTACTGAGAGAGAGACGAGGGGTAACACCTCCAAAAAGAGACAGTGCCTCCCACCTTCCTGTACATTATTGCCTCGGGGAGAGTACCCAGCTTCATGCTTTTGAGGCATAGTTCAGCAAACTTGGGATCAATTTGCCAGCTATTGTGGATCTTTATCATCAAAATGTATTAGATTATCTTGTATTAAGTCTTCGAGTGCCTTGGGCTATTTGAAAGATCTAGTTGGAGCTAGAATTTCATTCTGTAAATATGTGATCTCAGGTGCATTTTAATAGAGGCAGGAGGCAGAGAAATCCTAGGCAGACAGGGGCAGGTCCCCATGAAACCCCAACTTCAAGCCAAAAACAGTCCAAAACCCACAGACCAGAGTGAGAACTTCCATTCCTGTTTGCCTACTCTCTTTCAATTGGTTTTTTCTCAATAATGCCTTTTAAGCAATCGAATGTTGCCCTTTCCAATAGTACATATGGCCTGGCCTGCCCCCATCCTGTGCCTCTAAAGACCCCAGGCTCAGTTGGTAGAGGGGAGATGGCCTAACTTGGGGGAGGAGACCTGCTGACTTTGGGAGAAGACGACCTGCCATTTTCATACCCTCTCCAGCTCCCCTCCCTGCTGAGAGCTATTTTCATCGCTTGATAAAATTATCCGCCCTCACCATCCTTCAGTAGTCAAGCATGACCTCATTCTTCTTGGATGCTGGACAAGAGCTTGGGGCCCACTGAGTATGGGTACCAGAAAGGCTGGCCCTTTGCCCCCGCTGGTGGAGGGCAGCTGCCCCACACTACAGTGTCAGGGCTGACTGAGCGGCTAACACACCTCTGTCCATCGGGCTGTGGATGATGGAACTAAAAAAGCTAATTAGCACATTAACACCCACTCTGGGGATCTGGGGTCACGGGCACCCTTGCCTGGGTACCACTGTGTTCCTCTCCAGGCAACACGCCTGGTCTGGCTGCGGGCTTTACCCGGAGCTTGCTCCTGTGTCTTCAGAGCGACGAGCTGGATCCTGTACTCACTTGCTCACATGCTCCCTCCCACAAGGGGTTGAGTGCAGGAGGCCAAGTAGACAAGGCGCCCCTGCTGGGAGTCCAGCAAAGAGCCTGAGAAAAATCTTGCATCAGTTTTCACAACCTTCTGTGATGTGTCCCACATAAAGATGAAGAAAGTGAAGAACAACGGGATGAAGGCCTTGCCCAGACGTGATAGCTCCTGACAGTGCAGTAGGACCATGGCTGCCTCAAGGGAGTCCTTCCCCACGTCCTGCCTTAGAGAACCCAAGCTTGGGTTTAGGAACTCCTAGGGGCAGTAGCAGTGAGGGTAGAGTAGGGTGACAAGAACCCTGACTTTCTGTGGCTCCAGCCCTCACAATTGTATGTTTGCAAGGCACTGAGGAATCCAGGGTCCATTCCCCACTGGCAGGCCTTTTGATGCGTTCTTCCAGCAAGTTTCATTCGGCAAGAAAAGCACACACTAGTGGACAGGACAGCAGGCTAAGAGAGAATGCATCATTATCACCATAGCGTGTTATCACTCCTGCCAGCCTGCAACCAATGAAAGCACAAATACAACAAATAGGACGCCATTCTAAGAATGTCCACTTGCAGTCACAAGAATTTCCAGACCACTTCCCAACTAAACATACTCTTTAGGTCCCTTGTCTAGGAAGCTCTTGTCCCCTTTGCTTCTCCACTTTTATGAGTGACATGACGGCCATCAGCACTTCTCTGTCTACATCAGGAGCTATAAGACTCGCTGAGCACGTCTGCAACCTGGGAAACCTTCTTTGATGAACACGATGCTTCTTACCTGGGAGGACAGGCGGATACTTTGCAAGGCACCAGCCCCGTGACAGGTCGAGTCTTGGGATTGCAGAAAGATGTATTTACTTGAAACTTCAGGTCTCTGTAGCAGCCCTCTCTCACAGTCATCTGTCCTGTAGAGAAGGATGAAAAGTAGAATAAAGACTCACATGCATGCCCCACAGTAAAAGGTAGATGGTGAGCTAATAAAATCTCTTTCAAAAAATCTTAGCCACACTGGCATATCTTTGTGTTAATGACCAACTGGCCAACTATTAATATTCCACTTCTCTGACCTGTCTTCATAAGTTGTAATTAGTGAGTTTCATTCATTTTAAGATGTATATATTTTCCCTCCATATTTTTATTTTAACTTCTTTAAAGTCAACATTCGTTTTGCGATTGATGTCATCATAAATTTGCTGAAATGTACCTGCTTCTTTTCTACTCTTTCCATAGCTGAAAACACCAGTGGATTTTCAGCAGAAACACCAATATTAAATATGCCTGTTCCACTTTTCCATTTGAGATGACAACACGAAACAGTAATAAATCAGCAGGAAACACAGACAACAAAACAACAAGCAGTTTGTCACCAGAGAATTCAGAGAGCTAAATCTGAAAGGTTAACTTTAACAATCATGACTTAGGTGTTGCATAGAAGGAAGTCGATGGAAATGCAAGTTTGTTTGATTCTCAGCCTCTACCTATTTAAGACTTTGTGAACATTCCTATATTTGTTCAATATTTCAATTAATTAAATTTATCCCAAAGGGACTTTAACTTAAGTGAGGTACCAGGAATAGTCAATTCATTGAGACAGAAAGTAGAATGATGGTTACCAGGATCTCGGAGGAGGGAGAATTGGGAGCTAATGTCTAATAGTCACAGAGTTTCCGTTTGAGAAGATGAAAAAATTCTGGAAATGATGCTGGTGATGGTTGTACATCAATGTGAATGTACTTAATAGTACTAAAATGTACATTCAAAAATGGTGAAAATAGCAAATTTTACATATATTTTGCCACAATAAAAAAGAGATACTTTGGGAAGCTGAGCCGGGTGGATCACAGGGTCAGGGGATTGAGGCCATCCTGACCAACATGGTGAAACTCCATCTCTACTAAAAATACAAAAATTAGCTGGGCATGGTGGCATGTGCCTATATTCCCGGCTATTCAGGGGTTTGAGGTAGGAGAATCGCTGGAACCAGGGAGTTGGAGGTTTCAGTGAGCCGAGATCGTGCCACTCACTGTACTCCAGCCTGGCGGCAGAGCAAGACTCCAAAAAAAAAAAAAAAAAAAAAATTACAGCTAAAAGACACTTTGAGGAATGATATTAAAGAGTGAATGCAGGACCAGGCATGGTGGCTCACACCTGCAATCCCAGCACTTTGACAGCCTTAGGCACGTGAATCGCTTGAGTCCAGGAGTTTGAGACCAGCCTGGGCAATATGGCGAAACCCTATCTCTACAAAAAGTGCGAAGATTAGCCAGGCATGGTGGCATACGCCTGTAGTCCCAGGTACTCAGGAGGCTGAGGGGAGGATCACGTGAGCCTGGAAGGCAGAAGCTGCAGTGAGCCGAAATAGCGCTTCACTACACTCCAGCCTGGATGACAGAGGGAAACCCTGCCTCAAAAGAGTTAATGCAGTAGGGGAAAAAATAAATAGAACCAAACTAGTGTTGATTTAAAATTAACACAAAATATTTGGGAGGCCAAGGCGGGCAGATCACGAGGTCAGGAGATTGAGACCATCCTGGTTAACACGGTGAAACCCCATCTCTACTGAAAAATACAAAAAATTAGCCGGGCGAGGTGGCGGGCGCCTGTAGTCCCAGCTACTTGGGAGGCTGAGGCAGGAGAATGGCCTGAACCCAGGAGGCGGAGCTTGCAGTGAGCTGAGACCCTGCCACTGCATTCCAGCCTGGGTGACAAAGCGAGACTCCGTCTCAAAAAAAATAAATAAAAATAAATAAATAAATAAATAAATAAAATAAACACAAAATACATTCAGAACTAAAAGTGATTTTATCACTGCCTTTGGAAATACAGATGAAGGAATCCTGCAGATTGGGCAGAACACCTGTTCTCACTCCTCTGCAGCCCACGCCGTGTACAACTCAGACGGACTCAGACAACTCAGAGTTTGCTTATAAGGAAATACAACAAAGAGATTGTCTCCGAGGAGGAAAGGAGCAGACTGTAGACACCAGGCATGAAAATCTCTCATGCCAGTTCCACAGAAGTCAAACCCCTCCTGACTTAAAGAGAATTGAAAGTCTCTAAAATATACATTGAAAACAAGTTTGACATTTTGGCGTTGCTTAGTCAAAAGGAGTGGGGCCATTCAGAAGGGAAAGTCACACTCCACACATTATCAGTTTTCTCAAGTGTAAAGAGGAGGGCAGCTCTCCTAAGTTCTAAAGCAGGAGCCACTGCAGGAGCTCATGGCTCTAAGCCCCAAACCACCCATTTTTTGGGGTTTAGCCCTTTGAGCATTGATAAAGCAGAAAGAGAAGTTACATAGGACCCTCCTAGTTTTGTAAAACCAGTCATCTCTCTGCTAACTTGGCAGAATTATATATTTAACCCAGGTAAGTGCATGATGCCCCCTTAAGGTGAATTTTGCAATTATTTCTCTGATTTTAGTGATCTTTGATCAGGAATAGGTTATTTAAAAATGACTTTGATACATACTCTAAAAATGTAAGAAAATTATTTTAACATATTGAGCCTCTTAAAGAAGAATATTTCTATGAAAGAACAAGATTTAAACCGCTACAGACTAAAAGCAAGAGGACTAAGGAGGCGTCCATTGAAGATGGACCTAAATCCCTTGGGGCAACAGAAAGACAATACAAGTAAATATTTCTAGTACTCTGGTAAGTTTGCAGTTTCAACATCTGTTCTAAAAGATCAATTTAGGAAAATCAAAGATGGATTTGGGATTGGCCTTTGAGTATCCAACATCCCCCCAGGCAGGTGTAGTGGAGGTGGGGGGAGGGAGCTGCTCAGGGCAGCCTTTGAAAGGGGACGACACTGTGGGGCGAGAGTAATGCTAAAAGAAAAGAAAAACTCAGGATTCCAATTCACTACGCCAAAAGGATAAATCAAGCTGAAAACTGAGTCATGCAAAAAGCTGCCTTTCCTTTTGTTCCTAAAAAGAAAGTTGCAGATACAAGGTTAAACACCCCCACTGGTAGCTACCGCATGTTCACCTTATCTGGTGTACAGTGCCGATTTACTGAGTGAGATGAATACTCAGTTGACGATTCCCTCCCTGCCTGCTCCTTTTCCCTTGTGACCTGTTGATTCAGTAGTGGGACCATAACCTTACTCTTTCCCCTCCAGTCCACTTCTCCCCTTTAAATATTGAAGCTCTCAAAATAAATCATCTTTGGAGAAAGGCACAAACCACAGACTGTGTTTCTGGGATTCTGTCTTCCTTTCTTCTGGCCTATCTTTAACCTCGGCAAAATAAACTTCTAACTTGACTGAGATCTGTCTCAGATACTTTTTACAGTAAACAGGGTGGATTTCTAGAATTCTGATGCTCAGCTGCCTGAACCTCGATTCAACAGATGTGTCCTTGTGTTGGAGACGAGAGTAGAAGTGGAATCTGCAGAAGCCTGAGTGGTCACAGGATCCCGCTCCATCCGTGATGCTGGACAAGGCTCGGTTGCAGCTCAGGTGGGACTCAGCGGGTCAGAGACATGCGCAGGTGTGTACAGGATTCACAGAGGTTGTGCACGATGACCCAAATCGCTGCACAGTGGAAAGGAGGTGATGTCCCAGAAACATATCACTGTCAAGTGTCCCTGAGATAGTAGTGAACCAGCTCTGTGAGCCAACACGTCACACTCAACACAGACACAGGTACCGAGGGGTGGGCAATGATGTGCCCCAAATGCCTCATAGTCAAGGCCTCACAACCGCTCCCGCCCTCAGGAGGGAAGAGCAGCACTCTGTTCTGGATCAGCTTCTGTTTTCCAGCAAATGAATGTCCTTTTAAAAATGGCATTTCCTTTTAAAAATGTACATACACATGCACACATTCCTGCCACTCCCAGACTAAAAGCCCATTTTTTTTCTGTGTTTAAGCTCTGGACTTCCCAGCCTTGCCCTTCTAGCCCTGTGATGCTGTGACCCTGCCCTGCAAGCTCTTCTATGGTCCTCTGACTCCCCAGGGCCGTCCACCTGCTGTTCTCTCCACCTGGGGTGCTGTGCTCTACAGCCATGCCTCTGGGCTTCCCCGGCAGGTTTCTTCTCATCCCTTTCAATCGGAGTCAAATACCCGCTTCTTTAGATTCCTTGGCTCACTGGTTCTCAAGCTTGAGTGGGTATCAGAGCACCCTGGAAGGGCTCATTCATTAAAACAAGCAGTGCCAGGCTCTGCTTCTAGATTTCAGCTGCAGCAGGTCTGTGGTTGGGTCTTAGAATTTGCATCTCTAACAAAGGCTCAAATGCTACTGCTGATGCTGGACCAAGGACTACACTTTGAGAAGCATAAGTCTGCTCTGGGCAAACTTAGAAGCCACCATTGATTTCTATTTCAGTTTACCCCAGTGTGATTAGTACACACAGCTCCTAAGACCCCTGGGATCTCTGGAATACGGAACTTTCAGTCCTCACTCTTTGACCTCACCAACAGCCAGAGAGGGCAAAGAGGCTTGAGACCTGGCTAATCACTGATGGCTGATGATTTAATCAATCATTCTGATGTCATTCAACCTCTTTAATGATAGAGTTCAGAGAGATTGGTAGTTGGTAAACACATCCACATGGTGGGGAGTAGCACATCCCAACTCCATGGGGTCAAAAGCCCCTGTGCTCGGGACCCTTTGAGACCTCAAGACCTATGTAACTCTTAGTCATTTGTAACCTTTGTAGTAAACCCATGATCGTAAATCAAGTGGCTTCTTGAGTTTTATGAGCCATTTTAGCAGATTAGCAAACCTCAAAGGGAAAGTTTAGCAGATTAGCAAACCTGAAGGGGAAAGCCTGTGGGAACCCCTGACTTTGTAGGCAAGTTGTGGGTACCCATGAGACCCAAGACTGGAAACTGGCATCTGAGAGGAGGAAAGTCTTGGGGAATTGAGCTCTTACCCCTCTGGGGTCTGAGGCTAATTCC